CAATTCTTTACTGTTTGGTGTATATCTTATTGTTGTCTCCAACAGTGTGTAAACGTACAACACCAATTCTTTACTGTTTGGTGTATATCTTATTGTTGTCTCCAACAGTGTGTAAACGTACAACACCAATTCTTTACTGTTTGGTGTATATCTTATTGTTGTCTCTAACAGTGTGTAAACCTACAACACCAATTCTTTATTGTTTAGTGTATATCTTATTGTTGTCTCTAACAGTGTGTAAACCTACAACACCAAATTCTTTATTGTTTAGTGTATATCTTATTGTTGTCTCCAACAGTGTGTAAACGTACAACACCAATTCTTTACTGTTTGGTGTATATCTTATTGTTGTCTCCAACAGTGTGTAAACGTACAACACCAATTCTTTACTGTTTGGTGTATATCTTATTGTTGTCTCCAACAGTGTGTAAACGTACAACACCAATTCTTTACTGTTTAGTGTATATCTTATTGTTGTCTCTAACAGTGTGTAAACCTACAACACGAATTCTTTACGTGTTAGGTACACTAGAAATCTAACAATGAGAACTGTAAATAATTAGTGTTATCGTGGGAGCGCTATTTTCGAGCTGGCGAAACATGATTATAATTAATTATACTTGTCGTAATACACTATGTTAGGCCTATTACACTTTTCAAAATTATGTTATACTCATAAAATAATGTCTTATGACAACAATAAAGAATTAGTGTTAGAGACAACAATAAAATATACACTAAACAATAAAGAATTCGTGTTGTAGGTTTACACACTGTTAGAGACAACAATAAGATTTACACTAAACAGTAAAGAATTCGTGTTGTAGGTTTACACACTGTTAGAGACAACAATAAGATTTACACTAAACAGTAAAGAATTCGTGTTGTAGGTTTACACACTGTTAGACAACAATAAGATATACACCAAACAGTAAAGAATTGGTGTTGTAGGTTTACACACTGTTAGAGACAACAATAAGATATACACTAAACAATAAAGAATTGGTGTTGTAGGTTTACACACTGTTAGACAACAATAAGATATACACCAAACAGTAAAGAATTGGTTGTTGTCTTTAACCACGTGTAAGTAAATTATGTTAAATTTCATGCATAAATAACATCAATGTAATATTAGAAGCAGCTGTAATTCTGGACATAATCGAAAACAAAACAAAAACTGAAAATCCGATGCAAAATATTAAATTAATATATATCTCTTACATTATTTTATAAGCGGCTGTATGTTTTGTGTGACCAAATACATTTTTAAAATACGACAGTAGTAGTTTAGTCAATATCTGATTCATCATTATATTTCAAGGTACATATTAGGCTTAATCACTTCTAGGTTTGGACTCCATTCAGATATATATATATATGGTGATTTCAGAAGTTAAGCAAACAGTCTGATGTTGGCGATAGCTGCATAAACTTACATCTCTAGTTTCGCTTTATAATCGACATTTTAAATTATTTACATGGATACGCCTCAGTGAGGTTGTATCCACCTGAAGATGGCGCCTTATTCGCCAATGAACCTTGCTCGGACGAGAAATGTTCCGCAAATTTCCCTTATAAGAGAATACCCCTAACAGGACCGCGTTTCGATTGATTCTCATTTTCGGCCTTCTATTAGTGTCATACAAGTGTCCTGTCTTTATAATATAGTATATAAATATTTAAATAATGGTAGAACATATAAATGTTAAACTTGTAGATACATAATTACAGGTTGCACGTTATCTTAACGTTAACATTTTAGACTAACATTTTAAACATCAGATATAACATTTATTAGAAAAATAACCATTGTACGTTTTATTCTGAATGTTTCAAATTCATTAACATCAGGTCAAAAGGGGACAAGAAATTATGAAAATAGAAATGTTATCTTATTATATACCCCAACAACTTTTATTTTAATTAACTTTTATTAGAATGTTATTAAAGGCAATCATAACGCGGTCCTATAAGAAATACTCCTGTGTGGGGAATTTAATTTTCGTTCGAGCACGAGCCTAGTTCTCATGACATTCCAATAAGATAAAGAAACGACCGACTTCGAGTGAGATTTTATTGAAAATGGATGTTAAGCCTCAGGGATTAATAGCTATCGACTCGCAGAAGAACGTCATATATAAGACCGATAACACGCTGTTTCTCATTGGTCACACCATCACTGAACAAAACGTTTTAAAATGCTACATCTAGTTATTACCAGAAAGATAGAAAAAATTTATGGAAGGGATTCTTTATCCATAGCAGATTTCTTACAAAAAATCTACAGAAAGGACTATCTTGGCAAAGCCGCTGTCCCTAACTTGGAGTGATAGACTTTAAGAAAAACAGGCAGTCAACACAATTCATCGTCAACTCTTGGTCTACTTTCATCTGACCGTATAGTGAGATCTGTCCGTCATTCTTATAGCGTTCTCACAGTCTTAAAATGCGGAGCGCGTTCAGCAATAGAACATAATCCATGAAGCCTCGGATTCACAGATCACGTAAGCTATCAGTAAGGCACACCTTATCCAATCTGTGGTAGTGAAAAAAAAAGTAACTAGCTTCAGTCTCTCTATAGCATACGAGACCACCTGTCGTCGACATTCCTTCACGTGAATATATAAATACAGCTGATGTAGTACCGAGAGTTAACCCTTATTTACATACACCACTGATAACTACAGCTGATATAGTACCGAGAGTTAACCCTTATTTACATACACCACTGATAACTACAGCTGATGTAGTACCGAGAGTTAACCCTTATTTACATACGCCACTGATAACTACAGCTGATCTATTACCGAGAGTTAACCTTATTTACATACACTACTGATAACTACAGCTGATGTAGTACCGAGAGTTAAACCTTATTTACATACACCACTGATAACTAACGAGAGTTAACCCTTATTTACATACACCACTGATAACTACAGCTGATCTATTACCGAGAGTTAAACCTTATTTACATACACCACTGATAACTACAGCTGATGTAGTACCGAGAGTTAACCCTTATTT